AGAAGAATTCTTACCATCCTGGCTTCAAGGAGCTTTCTGGGTATATTCCTTGCCAGATAGAATTATTTGCTCTTTTGGCAGTCCATGCTACACGCAACATTCTTTTTCAGCACTGTAATTTAAATGCACTGATTCTTCTTTGGTTTTCCATATTCCACGTGTAACTTTCACATGCCTAAGAGGAGACTGAATATTCCATGACTTGGGTCAGTTGGGCTTAGTCCCCAAGAGAATATCCTTGTAGTCACTGTAGTAGCAGAATAAGTACTGGGGCAAATAATGATCTAGATAAATGTAGTATTGTTTAATACCAATATTAACATTTTCAAATTTCAGATAATTCTCCTTTTATTGTAACTAAATCTATGGGCACTGTGTGCTACATTGACAATTAAGTCTTTCTTCCTCGACTTTTACAGCCATTTGTAAACACCCATGTGGAAAAAGCAGGGAATGTGTTGCCCCAAATATATGTAAATGTAAGCCTGGTTACACTGGTTCTAACTGCCAAACAGGTAGGTACAACCCTTATTAGCTTTTCACAATGAATTTAAACTAATAATTAATTTTTAAACCATGGATTTTATTTTATACAGCTGTATGTCACCCAGAATGTAAAAACCATGGAAAATGTGTTAAGCCAAACGTTTGTGAATGTCCTCCAGGACATGGTGGAACAACCTGTGATGAAGGTGGTAATTCAAATCCAAAGCCAAGTAGTAGAACCAAAATAATGTTTAACCTTTAAAATATTTTCTAAAGATAACTTAGTTTTACTGTGTTTATACTAATATTTATTTATTTATGTAGGCGAGTGATTATGAGTTCTGTAAACTTTTATTAAAAGTACTTTTATTTGTAGATTTTTAAAAGAGCTCTGGTGACTTAGTGGGATACACGTTAGGCTACTAATCACATGGTCAGTAGTTCTAACCCACAAACTACTCTGTGGACGAAAGATGAGGTTTTCGGTTCCTGTAAAAAGTTAAAGTCTCAGATATCCAAGGGGGCAATTCTACCCTGTCCAGAGACTCAGCATGAGTCAGGGCTGACTTGACGGCAGTGTCTGATAGTTTCCAAAATTAGAGCTCATTCAGCAGAAACTGTGTTTGTCTTTGGCAAAATGATTTCCCAAAATAATTTCTTGAGATTTAGTTATAAGGTATCAATTTTTGCTTGAAGCAAAACGCTTCAATCATTGAATGAATAGTTAAATATATCATGCCAAGGATATTAATTGCCAAATATAAGATATCAGGTAGTTAGGAGATATCTAAAAAATGTTCTTTTAAGAATATCTATAACTTTATAATTTCATTGCATTGATTTATTCACATATAAAAAGAACTCATTACCATTGAGTCCGTGCTAACTCATAGTGAACTTGGGTGGGTTTCAAAGACTTTAACTCTTGATGGGAGTAGCGAGCCCTGTCTTTCCCCGTGCAACTGCCAACCATGATGATCGCCACCCAACGCATTCCCCCTAAACCACCAGCCCTCCAGATGAGGTTATTTCTAAAATGGATGATATTTTTGAAGCAAATTTGCTGCTTATTTTAATAGTAATATTTAAAATAATACACTGTGGTAAATGATTTATGTGGTTATTAACAAATTGTGACTGATGTTAAGTGCTTTCATGTCAAGGAGAAGGACCAATTAACAAATTGTAGTAAATTTCAGTTGAATGAATGAAAACATTCAAATAAATGTCAAATGAAAATAATGGAGGAAATTTAGAAGTGTTTATTCATGCATTGGGTGAAAATTAACAAACCCTCC